ATTATACTTTTAAAAACTATGCAGTGACGTTTAATTTTATCCCGTTATCCAAAACTTACGAATTCCTTGTTTTTCGACAGAAATAGTAGTGTAAAATTTTAACCATTATTAGTTGAAATAAAACATTTTCAGTATCCTTTGAATTTGTGTATATGTTGCATTTAATAGCATTCGATTATCAAACGCTTCAGGGAACATATAGAGTGCCTACCTACCTACCTACCTACCTACCTACCTACCTACCTACCTACCTACCTACCTACCTACCTACCTACCTACCCATATCCTACCTACCTACCTACATACCTACCTACCTATCTACCTCCCTCCCTAATGTTTCAATGATGTCCCCTGAAACACAAACACATTTTTGACCTAATGCGAAAGTCAATCTCTTACCAAAGTTTCTCCGAAAGAAAATTTTCCATCCGTTGTTAGGTAATCCTGACGTTGTATTATCTAACGGATAAGGATAATAATCTGTGAGCTCACACTGTTTATTTACTTCATGAAAATTTACAGACAGACATCCGAACATACTATCACAAAGAGCAACACATTTGTTGATGGAACTATCATTAAAGCTAGATAGGGGATTCCCATTACTTTCATTGCTGGCATTCATTTCATAAACAAAGGATTGTTAATCCAGCAATAATTTGAAAAATGTTGAAATACAGAAAAAAATGTTTAAGTATCTTCATTTTTGTGACATACACAAATCTAAATGTCCAAATCTTAATATAAAATTCAGCTTCGAAATGACACTAGATGATTGTTTATGGCTAATGATTGATATTTTAACAAACCCCTTCTTTCAAGTGAACCCGAAGCGAATACGCTGTCGGTACCTGTGTGCAAAGGAATAAGTGATAAATCAAAATTTGCATAAAGATTACCCGGCAGATCAATCTTACTGTAGCTTAGATTTACATGCAAAGAATACCGTAAGTAGATCTAACCTTAAATCACCGTATTTGTCTCGCCACCACATCATTCAGAATTATATATAAGACTAATGCAAAGCTTTTAAAAACTTATTTACGGCCTCATATTTTTAAAGAAGAGCAATGACTTATCATGCCAGAGAACTCCAAATCACCATAGGCACAAAATGGTTTTCAATTTATTTGCAATTTTTAAATATTGATTGACCGCGCTCGATATACATCGGAAACTAGTTCAAATGTTGCTTATATTGAGGTTGAAGAGGTTAAAATGATCATTATTGTGACAATATATATACAAATATTTAAATAAACAAATACACTTGTGATGATTTAAACATATTTGATTACATGTGCTTTACATAAGTACATGACTGTTGAACAATGGTTAAACTTTACTTTGAAATGCAGGAACCCTATGATATAGAGACGAATGGTTAATAATAAAAAGGAATAACCATTGCAGGGTGGCGAATCTATGTGTCTTATTAGGAAAAATGCACGACAAAAATGATAAAATACCACCGATTTAGGCTGGTATTGTTTTTGTATCCATTTTTGATTCCGAATGAATTTTTTTCAAATAAAGTGCATAAACCCCTATATTTCAGAACAACACTTGCACAGGATTGTACCGAATTTGTGTGAAGTCTAAATTTTCTACAATAATGACCCAACTGATTCAGTTGATGAAATGATCCGGACTAATCGGTTGAAGCAGTTTGGGAAAGATAGCGAAGAAAGTCTATTCATTATTTTAAAAAAGATGTTTAGAAATATCCTAGTTGAATCAAGCTATACTGTATAATCTATTTCCCCGCCGTGTGTGTTGGTTGTCTAAAAGTCCCGTTGGTTCGAAACCTTGATTGTTATTAATTTGACAAACGAATAACAAATATGATCGTTTTAAGATTAGGACGGGACTTCATTTTGTGCTGAACACGTCCCTTCAAAATATTATAAAACGAAAATGATGCTGAGAAAATATGAAAACACCTCGATAACTACATAGAAAGCTCTGTGATGTACTAAAGCAGAGAAAAAAGTATGAAATATTAATCAAGGGAATAAAACCATATGACATAGGAAACATATCCTAAGCTAAACATATATAGCTATTTTTTTCATAGCTTGTCATGTTCTTCCCAGTGGTCTTTATATGCTGTATGCCATATATGACACCATTTGCTATTTCATCAACTAATTTTTACATTGTTTGCAATATAAATCAAAGTACTGAAAGCACTGGATGCGACAGACATGAATAGGGAATTGCATAAATGTTGTCAAAAAAGGATCAAACATCATCATGTGGCACCAAGATAATTCTATAGTAACACATTGAGTTTTATGCTTGCAACAGGGTAAAACACCGGAATTTTCAAAACAGGGTCGTTAAAATAGAATGGTCTCGAAACGTGCAATGTAAAACCCTTCTAGCTACAAACAGGTTCTTTCAAATAGAAAGACCCTTTTTAAGGTGACTATATCTATTAGATTTTCTCTCATAATGCCTGGCTTAAAAGCTAGTAACTAAATCAAATTTAAGTAATTAATAAACAACCATACTGACTGAAATTACTTAATATATAAATTTAACTGGTCATTTTCTAGTTGTCTGTGTGATGTTTTGTCATTTAGAAAATTCCGGCGTTTTGTGACAAACATAAGAATAAGATTGTCAATGATTTTCTTTTTGAATGATTGCTTTTCAAGCTTTAGAACAGTAGCGAATGCATTCTATCCAGATTTATTGATTCTTTTTTATTAAGCAACATAAACAAACTTCCAAAGAACCAGTGAAGGATATAAGATTATAAACATTCCTGACCATGTTGCAATGACTTTTATTACATAATATTTGCAACAGACAATAATAAGATAATTTGGATTCTTATGATTATGAAAATAAACTTTTTCTAGTAGCTTATTTTATAAATAAATCGATTTGTATATATAAGGACCTCTGGGCCGTAACATATTATCAACAGCGTGCATATGTTGTATATACAAGCGGCACTTGACTGTTATATCATAAATCATCAGGGTGCATATTAAAGAGTCTGATAACGTCACTTTTGTTAGCTGTCAAAATATTTATGATCCGATCATCCTAGGGATTTTATTGACTGATTTGATACTCCAGGTTTACTACCAACTGACAGTGAAGTACATGTTGTCAAATATGCAAAATTATAATTCAGTTAATAACGAATTTTGTGTATGGTTTTCACAACTTGTTTTTTTTAGTGAAATCTTTTAAATAGTTTAAACAGAATATGAATTACATAAAAATATCAAGTTAAAGATATCAGTTTATCAGCTTTCAAAAAATATGTAGTGCATTCAAATGGCGTGATGTACGATTTTCGAGAGTGCCGACACAAATATTATACAAGTACATTCAAAAGAATAGTTACTTTAATGTTCGAAATAACACAGATTTATATTATTGTTTTTGATCAAAATAATATTTATTCAACTAGCATCTTGCTATTTATATTACGCAGACCTTTTTCGAAACTACGGAATACTAACATTTTTGAAACTGACAATAGGTTTTGGGTACTGTGTATTGGCAAGTCATAGATTTTTTTACAGATTGTTTTGATGAAAATCGAAAACTATCTTAATATATTTTACCTACTCCATAGCATTGTAAGTATCATCTTTTGTTTAAAAACTATATTTTTTTCTCACAAATAATTTCTATTGATTTTTTTCACAGATTTATTGAATGAAAATGAATAAATGCAGTTGAGATTAATTTATTTGAATAGTGTTTGGTCCTGGAAGTTTATTATAAATTGGCATGCCTTCCTTAAGTGGTGAAGGATACTAAAGCTTGGTGTGGACGGTGAGCGCAGGATGAACTATTTGCAAAGGTTAAAGGAAATATTTACATGTAAAATATGATAGACAAGATCAACAAGAAAAGACGGTGTTTTCAATGAACGCAAGTTTGAACATTATCTAAATATTATATGCCATTAAGGGAAAAATATACGTCATTTACACGACTCTGAAGGAGAGAATGCGGGTGTTTGAAACTTTTTTTCTAATAAGTCCAATAAGTCCAGTTACAAACGCTAAACCCGTTTAGTAAGTTTGAAGGTGAAGGAAAAGAAAATTGCAAGCAACGTTCATAAATTGTTATTGCTTATTGTCAGTGTATGGTATGGATACCAAATTGATTCTTTATATTTTATAGAGAATTAATGGCAGCACAAGCAGAACATGGGCGAAAAATGAGCAAATTTCTAATGGCCAAGGTGAGTGACATGGATGTTGAAGACACGGACATAGGCCGCATAAGAATAAAACTTTCTCGACTTATGGCAAACAAAATATCGGGAAATCCTGCATTCAAACGCGAAGTCAAAAGTAATAAACCAACAAGGTAATGCAAGATTTAACGAAAAGTTGAGCCAAAATCTTGTAGAGAGAATGAGGGGTTCCTTTTCACATTTTGTTAATAAAGAAAATCTTACACGATCTGGGTCAATCACGGGAGCGCAACTTACGTTGTCCGATAAAATAAAACAGTGGAAACATATAAACTGAAAATGTTTTCTTGAAAGAAAACCAATCAACAAAGATAACCAACTAAAGATAGTTAAAACATATATACAAGTCTGAACAGGTGCACGTTCTATTCACAGCAATCAAATTTACCCACCTCGCTAACTATTTACAATTCTAACACGACTGCCTCTATCCCTTTTGAACACTATAGGACCGATTTTATGTGCTAGGGGGGCATTGAAGATTTTGCACTTTTTTCATTATCCCTCATGTTCAGACTGAAAAAAAACCGCGTCTGCAACTTGCATGTAATTTTGCTGTTTTCGAGGGATCTCTTTGTTTCAAGATATTTATTATGCAATAAAATAAAAAGTTAACGTTCTATATATATTTAGACATCTGCCGTTACCATTAAAGATGTGACGTAATCACTAAAAATGCAACGCGAGGAATATAAGTAACGACACAAATATTATAATAAGTTATACTTAACATGTATAATTTTACACACAAGGGCAACAAACAAAATAAATTTTGACTTTTAAAAACTAAGGCTATCGAACAATGATATAAAACTGACACAAATCACTTTGTCGTACAAAATCTTACATAGAACATGATATTTTTGCACCTTTCAATTTCATCAAAATACTAATTATCATGTGAATGTATTGCTTTGCTGACACAAACGTTTAGTATCAAGTCATATGAAAGAAGCTAGATGTGAATACTTCGCCATTACCAAAAAATATCAATAAACATCGCGACAGTTTCTGTTTTTATTTTTACAAGGACCATGAAAGAAAAACGACATTACAATATATTAACATTAAAGCATCAGAGTAACAAAAAAGATACAATTAAATATGTAAGAAAACACACTAATTTATATCATACGTTTGAATATCATTATAGAATAATATTGGTATTGCATGACTTCATTGAATGAACTTAATTTGCATCACATTACATAAGAGGAACTGAAATTTGTTGATATCAAGAAATGATATCTATCACTGCACGAGTTATATAATAATGTCTTAAAAATTAAGGGCTGAAAATCAAAATAGAATAAAGTTTGGCGGCATGATAAAACAAAGTTCACATTGATTCTGTAGACACTTTGTCACACTTATGAAGTAAAGTTCTATTAAAATGTCAAAAAAATGATGATGTCAAATAAAGTGGTTATTATATATTTCTGACAACAATACAGATTTTATTAGACTCGTACATAGCTGCAAAATCTATATCAGAGACTAGAGCCTGCTCCAATATATGTTTGACATCTATATACTCGTGCAATAAAAAGCAGTATTGAACTCAACAATGTATAATAACATCAAAATATAACATCTTGTTTTTACTCTGAAATAAGAATATTTTTCCTCTATAAAAAGGCAAATTTGTGTTTTATAATATTTTGATTATGGATTAATAACAGATTAAATCAGATGAAGAAAAAAGTGTTAAATAAGAAATAATTTTGTCAATTAAGAAGCAAAACATTAAACATTTAAGCAAAAAAGCTAAAGAAAGTCGGAAACCGTAAAATAACATAAATAATAATAATAATAATAATAATAATAATAATAATAATAATAAATTAAATGATAATTATAACAATAATGATATAATCAAGAGCTGTCATGCATGTGACGAATACCCCCAAAAAGGTTTCTTAAGCAGGTATTATTAAAAGAAATGAAAATGAAAATAACTATTTGCTTAATATTGTTCTTGTGAAATGAAGTGCTATTTATAGCAAACTTTATACCTTAGGACAAGGGTCTTGGATGCGACATATCATCTTGATGTGGTAGACATTTAGCCACATTTATTTTAAAATCCTTCAAAACATGACAATGTTACAGTTTAGAAACTAATGTGTACATTCAAACTCTTCTTTTGAGCATAAGTACCTTCAAACTATTAGAGTAACATTGACCTTGGTGGTAGGGACATGGGTCTTACACACAACACGTCATCTTGATGTGGTTTGTGCCAAGTTATTTTAAAATCCCTCAATGTATAACAAAGTTACAGTCCAGACACGAATAAAGTGGGGACGCACAGACGGACAGACAGACGGTGCGATTTTTTGGGCATAACAACGTTGGAAATAATACAAATAGTAAAGAAAACTTTATTCGGTATTAATGAGTCTTCAATTAAATCACAAAGTTTTCTGTACTAGGATGTTTATTAGGGTCAGGTTTATCATATTATTAATGATTGATTGTGGAGAAGAATGCCATTAGCGAACAAGATCAATCAAACCTTTTCAATGTCTCGTTTTTGTGCATTTTAAAGAATTTCGTTTTCCCTATCTAACAAAGTATAAATTTGTTTGAAGTTCGTGAAGTTGTGCACAGTATGTTTTAAACATTTAAGGTGTATTAACGTAGACCTCACATAACGCCATCATTTCTGTAGATTCATGCTTGATTTTTAGAAACTTTCCGAAGATTGTATTTGTACAATTGATTGTTATGCTAAAAGGTTCCTTGTCTATAGCAGGACCAAAGTATGATCCACATTTTGTTCCCGCATCATTTATGACATCATCACGACTGTAAGCAACGGTCACTGTGAAATTTGTATGTCTTTCATCTGAAACATATTCATGTTTGTAATATATTGCTTGTATGATTTAAATCAATCTTTTTTAAAATAAATTAAAAGAAATACAAGATCACCTTTTTTGTTTTAACTTTTTAGTGACTCAAAGGTAATATTATTTGAAAGAATAGAATTAATCATCGGGTTTGATCGTATCCTAAAGATTCTTACAATTTTTTATCCTTGCTTTTGACTTTCCTTTGTTTTTTAAAGACAGGGAACTGTTACTTTGAAAAAATATCATTGTAGAAACTTTTTAACAGTTAAAGACTGTAGGGATGTGACACCAGCTGCCTATACAGACTAGAATTTCTAGCTCGAGTGTAACTGTTTGCGGCGGTAATGAGGTTCGGCCCTAAACTACCCGAGAGTTAGATTTACCTGTGTGTAACGTCAGCCGGTGTTTGATTCTCTTTCTTGCATCTTAAAAATTAATTATGTTTCGAAAAGAAATTAGGAAAACTGATATTTTCGTTTAGCATTTTATTTCTCATAGTGGCGTATAAATTTGTAACATGTAGCGGAAAAATGACGTTATCCAAGAACGCATTTTATTGATAATAGGCGTGTCCGAATGACGTCATTTAAGACTAGCTACTTATAAATTCAAATGAATTTAATGAGATGTTATAATGTTATGTTACAAAATTCTCTGAAATAACCTTAGCGGTCCGACGTCTATTGTGAAAAAGAGGGATGGAATTAAATTAATTAATCTTTAAAACTCGTTTACTGATAAAATGAATATTAATATCTTACAACAACAGTCTCTTCGTAACATTATTTGTACTGATTTTACAGGACCCGGAGTTCCAAACTCAACAGCCCAGTATGAGAAACCATTATAAGTGTGGGCACAGTTGTGTATGCCTTCTACCTTTCCGTCTATAGCCTTGTCTGCGATCATATGCTTTTCACCTCCATCTAAATATGTAGTGGACTGCCATGCTTCAGCTCCTTGTAAAAGATTTATTCCTGTAAAAATAACAACAAAAAGAACATTTAATTTTTTTTAGATAGATTCTATGGAATATCATTTATAAAGTATACCTCATGCTTATACGAATGCCATTATTTTTTTGTAAAGTTTAGTGAAGAAAATGAAGAGGAATGTTTGTTTAGACAAATTCGTGGAATGAAGATTAAAGGTTTTAACGTCCGATTTGCGACAAATTGTGTTTCAAATGTCGGACTTAATCCCTTTGCTTTTTACTTGGCACGAAGTAAACATACTTGTGTAAATCAATTGCCACAATTGATCTTTGTAGTAAACTTTTATACGTTATACTTTAACCACTTTTTAAGAAATGAACCAGTTGATTTAAATTTTTTCTGAAAAATTCCGATTGCCTTAGTTTATTTGCAAGTAGAATTTCTGTTTAACAGTTTCTGAAAAAAAAAACTAAACAAATATTCTCTTCGTCGGTCGTAGTTGACAGTTTCACATCTGTCACTTCTCGTTGCATTGGCTTAAGCGTTCACTTATTAAAATGTACTTAAAATTCTTTAGAAACTTCTTAAATGTTGTCACACGAATGCACTTTCACAAAAAAAAAATACAATGTGCCTATAATAATTTATTTAAAAAATTACTGAGACATTTATGAAAAGCTTAATGAAACTCCCTGTTTCAGAAAATTTGAAAATTTGCATAAATAGTTCAATAAAATCGATCAAAAGAGTTCGACTACAATTAAAGTTATACATGCATATAATACGAAATGTGGAGAATTTAATGCCAACTCCCAACTCTCAATATATTTTTTTATCAAAACGACCTTATTTCTTAATTTCCAAAAGTAAACAAATGGATAGATTGATAATTACAGATGCTTTACGAAAATGCAATTCAACAGCTCTTACAACGATGGGTATGGCTCAAATGCAAAACAGACTCCCTTTAGATTGACGCATTATTAAATTTTAATGTTAGCATGGATACACATGAAATCAGACAGTTGCACAGTCTTTTATTTGTTACTGAGAAATAAAAAATATTGTCTATCCATTTGATGGAAATGTACATAAAATGTTTAGCATCAAATAATAAATTATCAAAATTGCGCTGTTAAATGTTTTATATACTTCTATTTTTATTGACGACTCGCAAAATAAATCGGGTCATTCCGCAGTAAATCATATGTCTTATCCAAAATCATATAAAACTAGGCTACTTTGCAGGCGATTAGTACTGCAAAGCACTGTTTGTTCCAACAGAGGGCGCCACCGCTGAAGTCACCGTCTTTACTAGCGGCTCGAGCACCCTAAAACTGTTTCTTTTCGTCTCTGTTACATTTTAGGGCCACTCACTGTTGTTTCAGTCAGGAAATCGGCAGTTTACTTTAAACAAAGCCTTGAACGTATTCTCGGATTTAAAAAATTCACGCGAACTTTCCATCTTAAACGTTGCAGTGGATCTTCAATCTGTGCCTTCTCAACGACGTGAATGTACCGAGGGGAAAGAGGAGAGCTTTTTAATTCTTTAATAGAAACACACTTTTATCTATAAGGGTTGCTGGGCCGTATCATCATTAATCACCAAGGTCAATATGAAATGAGTTATAACATTACAGATGATTACGTCACTTATCATAGCTGACCCTTACAGGAGTTTGTTCGTTAAAGGTTCGAAGGTACGAACATACCAGCAACTGTTATTTACATACGATGTCGTAGGACTGGACATTTTTCGAATTCTTCCATTGTACGTTTGAGTGGTATTTTGTATTTTTATTTCCTTTCTTTATAAGAATAACAATACACACATAAAACATTTAAAATGAAAACGTTATACTTTTATTATACTTTAAAGAAATATGCAGTGAAGTTTAATTATAAAATTTGACCTGCTTGCTTTCAAAACAAATAGTAAAATATAATTTTTAATCATTATAATATTTTTATTTATTAAAACTTTTCGAAATGAATATAGATCTATGTTTTTGTCTCGTTAACACACTTTCTCCCAAAGAAGTTTTGCAAGTCCGGAAATATTGTATTTTATGTAAAATCATTAAGAAAATATCCTTACTTTCATAATTACTATTGTATTAAACTATTTTTACTATTTTTGTTATTCTTGCTGATAACTTTAATGTCCTTAAATCAGAAAATGTTGCTGTAAAAAAAACAAAGAAATATTGAAAAAGAATACTTTATAACATGTACGTTATACAAACAAGTTGAAATAATAATAATAATAATAATAATAACGAAAATAACGAAACGGAATCTTCATAGTTTACTAACATTTTTATATTACGGTGTAGACAGCAGAGAAATAGGAATGAAAAAATAAATCCCTCACCAAAATTCCTCCGAAAATAGATTTTACATCCGTTGTTAGGTATTCCTGGTATTGTATTATCTAACGGATAATAATCTGTGAGCTCACACTGTTTATTTACTTCATGGAAATTCACAGACAGACATCCGAACATACTGTCACAAAGAGCAACACATTTGTTAATGAAACTATCATTAAAGCTAGATATGGGATTCCCATTACTTTCATAACTGGCGTACATTTCATAAACAATGGATTTTGTTAATTCTGCAGAAATGTGAAAGAAATTAAAAGACAGGTAAAATGCTCTAGAATCTTCATTTTTGTGAAGGACACAAATCTAAATCTCCAAATCTAAATGAAAAATTTAGTTTTGGAAATGACCATTGAAGATTTTTAATTGTTTAACAAATCGTTTCTTTCAAGAGAATGAGAAGCAAATATACTGCCGGTACTCGAATGAATACGAATGAATAATGAATAAAAAATTTGCATAAAGTATTCCCGACAGATATACATTTAACAAGAGAAATATTGAAAAAAGGTGGCAAATTGTTTTTTATGTTATCTGATGTCGGTCGACCATAAAAGGTCACTTTGTTAATGTGTTATGTTTTATCTCGGTAAATCTAAAATTTGAGATTTTTACAAGAATATTTTTCAGGCGAATTCTGCCTGAGAGCGGTTTGATGATTGTAAAATTAACAGGAAAGAACAGAATATTAAAACGATTCTCATTGGTCATTTTAAAATTACAAATTAAATCAGGGAATCTTATCGGTCATTCCAAAATAATTATAATAATCTAAAGGATCTTTCTGAAACGTATACACGTCCGATTTGTAAAATAATCTTAAGAAGTATTAGAAACAAATGTTCTAGTTAAAATTCTCGGATATTTGAAATCTGTGAACATTCTCCCAATAAACAATTTAACAATTTATACGGCTTTAAAATTTTTTCTTTTTTTTCTCTGGTGAAAACATTATTTTTTATTAAACATAAGAATATACCAAGTTGAAAATGACATTTTATAAGTTTTGTCCAAACTAACGAGATGCCAATAACGCCCGCGATCCAGGAAAAACATATGCATACCGAAATACATCAATTGTCTGGTACATTTAGTAGATTATGTTTAGTGTTCATGATATACCGGTATCATTAATAATGATGATTGATGTAATCAATCGATTTTAATTAAAAGAAATCGATAAATGTTTGCATATTGATTTAGCATAAATAGTGCGTACAGTGTATATGAATACGTATGTGTAAGGTACAGCGGTTACGGAAACACTACAGTTCCATTTGGAAATATTTTTGCAGTGTTTCCTAAACCTAAAAATACGAAAAAAGAACAGCTTAAAATAACCTATGATAATAAAAGAAGTTTTATCTCTTCCGATTATCTTTTTTAAAGATTATTTAGTAAAATCATTCAGAATTATATATAAGACTAATGCAAAGCTTTTTAAAACCTGTTTACGACCACATATATTTAGAATAGAAAAATACTTAATCAAAGTACTTCCGTTCAACATGTTATTTTCGATTTTGCTCACTACTGTGTTGGAGCACTATCTCATGATTTTTTTCGCTGATTTTTATATCTTTCATTTATGTTCATTTATAAATCGGTGTGAAGAGATGAATAAGATGTTTTAAAGTACATTTCGGCGGGTAAAAAGGGGATACTGATTACTAGCGATTCCGTATTGAAGCGCCTCGTCCGAAATGTACTTAAATACGGTATTTCATGCGGGGCTCCAATACTTTTATGTCACATGTTTTGTTTTACAGCTTATTGCCAATAGTAATCATGAGTGTCATAATAATTCTTTTCCTTCAATCGGCCGTTAACTGCCTAGAATGACGTTGACTTCCTGTGTGAATCCAAGAGAAAAACTGAGTATTCTTCCCCCTAACCAGTTGCTCAACCTGCTGATCGTTCAGCACGGCATTATTGTTGTGCTTGTGGTATTTTGGTTCTTTCTATTCGGCATCTTTCTTGTTGGGTGGTTCCAATATTCCTAAATTGAATACTGTTGAATCACCCTTAGGATATGTGGCCTGCTTTTTAAATTTGTCTTTTGACGTCATATCTGTGATATGCAGGCTTCATAACCTCAGATCCCCTTTCAAATTTCCATCTTTTTTTTCCCGCCCATTGGTTTCTCGTTTCGGGCACATGCATTTTGTTACTTGGGGACCATATGCCGCTTTTCATGAAACGGCACTTACGTGTCACATTGAAGGTTCCATGATAATCGCTATATGAACACATCTACGGATGTTTCAAAATTATACCAGTTCATGTTAAATGTTGAATTCTGCTTAAGCCGGTGCTAGGGGGGCGTGGATGGTAGTTTGCATTTGACAGTACTGTCCATGAACAGACTCAATCAAACCGAGCCTGCAACATTTTCAATTTTGCCGTGTTTGGCTTTCTTTAGGGATTCTTTTTTCTCTCTATCTTACAATACACCGTAAACTCTTTCCTCCCCCGATAGCCATCTTCGAAATTTGAAATATATAGAAATTTTGCCCCCAAAGATTTTCATCATTTATGTATTTTCACTTTTTGTATAAATGTATTCCATTGATATTCATTTAAAACTGCATTTCATAAATATGTTGAAATATTTTTGCCGTCGGTCTAAAAACAGAGCGGTTAGCTCTTTTATTAACCCTTTTAAAAGCATTGTTGTAAATCATAACAAATACTGTCCAGAAATTATAATTTTAAAAAGAAATCAACACGGTAACACTTAAGTTTGTATGCAAATGAAGACTGTAATTTGCTCATGAGTGTGTATTCATAATGTATTTTGTCTCATTATTACACATACATTTTATACATATATACAAATATTCACATAAAACTTACAGACGACGATTCTTTTTTATTAGAATTTCAAGAGGCATTATTTCAATAAGAAACTTATTCCAGACTAGTACATTAAGACATGATTCATAAAGTACAATTTTAACTTATATAAACAGTTAGGTAACTTGTTTAAACAGAATATCAAAAGTAAGGTCACCATCAAAAAATAAAAAAAACTGCCCTAAAAGGAAAATGTAAAATACTGAGAAGTGTAAATCGGAGCCCAAACGCGCGTATAGAAAACATTTTTAAAATTATCATCCGAGATTAGGTCCTGCATGAACTGATTAGCAGTGATTACCTAAACCTATAGGTAAAATACATCATCATGTTTAAAGCGAAACATTAATTATTTACAAAGGAAATAAAAGACAAAGTTGCAGATTATTAATACAGATTTTGGCCCATTAAAGTATCATTTCAATTTTAATGAACAGAAATATTAATTGTTCATTTTTAGACATTCTTACAAATGCATTATTTCTGGTTTGAGTTTTATCAAGTCATATCTACATCGTTAGTAATTAAAAAAAATGTCTGGTTCTGCACATTTTGTTCTTTTTTATGTATTATTTGTAAAAAGTTACTATGTTTATAAACCTTTTAAATAACCGGCGCTTTTGTAGAAGCGGTCTGGAAAATCACTTACCGACCGCCGAACAGATAAATAATGATTTGTTCGGCAAATGTATTAGATATGCAAAAAAAAAAAAACAACAAAGAAGTAATTTAATGCAGTTTTGAACTGTTTTAAAACCGACAACGCCAAAGTTACTTTCAGTTCGTAAATAGTAGGTCATTCTCTTAAAATGAATGTTTCATCAGCAATATATATATCGCATTCAACTATTAAATTGAAAAAAAGTAAATCTATTTCATTTTACTTTTATAAAGTATGCAGGCACGTTTAATTCTATCCCGTCCGAATTGCTTGTCTTTCGTCACAAATAGTATTAAGTAATTTTTAAATATTATTAATTTCAGTATCTTTTGAATTTGTGTATATGTTGCATTTAATGACATTGGATTATCAAACGATTCAGGGGACATAAAAAGTTACTGTAGCTCACAGTCACACGGATATGTAAAAAATCCTTACCTACCTACCTTTTTTTCAATCATGTCCTCTGTACCACAAACAAATTTTTTGACCTAATGCGAAAATAAATTTCTTACCAAAGTTTCTCCGAAAATAAATTTTCCATCCGTTGTTTGGTATTCCTGACGTTGTATTATCTAACGGATAATAATCTGTTAGCTTGCATTGTTTATTTAATTCATGGAAATTCACAGACAGACATCCGAACATACTGTCACAAAGAGCAACACATTTGTTGATGGAACTATCATTAAAGCTAGATATGGGATTCCCATTACTTTCATTGCTGGCGTACATTTCATAAACAAAGGATTTTGTTAATCCAGCAATAATTTGAAAGAAGTTGAAAGACAGAAAAAAATGTTTAAGTATCTTCATTTTTGTGAAGTATACAAATCTAAATTTCCAAAACTAAATATAAAATTTAT